GCTCATGCTGAATCATTTTTATTTGCCTTTTGAATACTCTTCAGATGACCCTCATGTAGTGTGGCCCCAATGAAATGAATAAGCAAAGCAATAAACAAATAAATGAATACATATATTTTAATTCTGACTCTTGGTGGTGTTTTTAGTACAGCAGTATGTTGAAAGCAGAAATACTTATATATAGATAAGAATGCAGACCATGAATAGAAGAAAATGCTAACATTCTATACATCCCACATGCGGCTTTAAAAGTAGTTTTAGAGTAAAATATTTTGTTTATGACTTTGATCTGAAAGTACCCTTTATTTTTCAAACTTAAGTGCTAAACATTGTTGAATTATTATATCCACCACATCTTAGCACAAGAACAGAATGTACACAATGCAAGATTAATACTTGTGAGATGTACTGGACTAACATTTACCATTGAGATATATTACAAAGGGAAATGTAGTACAGTACAGTACAGTACATTATAAAATACAATCAGCTATTACTTTAAAGTGCTTTCCCCGCTTGATATTACCTTTAAAAAGGTTGTGAGAATTCACTTTGAACATGAATATTCAAAGACGCAAGCCATATACAAAATGCACCATACTGTGTAGTGAAATGCTTTTGCCTCCTGCTCCATGGATTGTGTTCAAAAGGAAAGATCTAACACAAAAAAAGAAGAAATAAATGACAATTAAATAAAACAATAAAATATATAAGATCATTAACAATAAATATGTTAATGCCTATGCTGATGAAAGAGAAAGCCTGCCATAAGGAGGGCAAATCCCCAAAACAGTGCAGTGACAGTATAAAGCATGCAAAGAGGCATGATAGCCAATACCCAAGTGCTCTTTCAGTGTATGGGCAGCCTGAGCCAGGGGTGACAGTGATGGGGGAGGGCACAGATACCCAATCAGATTCAAGGGGCCCAGAACTTTATAGGGGCCTCTCATTATAATAAAAAAAAAAAATCTAATTTATACATTCTGGGAACATAATACATCCACTTTTCAAATTTTACCATGGTGTACTACCTCCCCCCCCAGTCCTTGGCAAATTCTACCACGGGGGGTCTGTATGTCTTCACACTACACTGAGAGTGGCACCTTAGTGGGGGGCCCAAGGAGACATTTTGTGAGGGGGCCCAGAATTTCTAGCTACACCCCTGGCTAGAGTGAACAAACTTGTTCTAATTCTGTCTTGTTGGCCTTCAGCTCCCCCCCCCCAGTAGCCATTATCACAGTATCACCTCCATACAGTAACTGCAGCAGAGAGAAAAGGCCATTGCTGGGGTGGGTTAAATCTTTAATTACTCTCTCCGCTTTGTCACAGCAGCGCCTCCTGTAGGTGTGCTGCAGGTCCTGCAGGTCAGCTTAACACACCAGCCTGAACAGGGCCATGCTGTTCTGCTACTGTAGGTGCAGCTCCAGAACCAGATGTTGATGTTCTCAGTCAGGAAACTTTCCATACTGCAGGTGTAAAATGTCTTGAGTGTAACACTAGAACTGAAAATCATCAGGAATAATTTTGATGAGCCTAGATGGAAAAATCATGCAGTCAGTATAAAATATAAATTCAATTATTTCTTTTTTTCCACCCAATACCACCTGGTGACCTGGTTTCAGTTGTGGGTTTAAAACCATCATTATATACTGAGAATAAGCCTGAGAGAAGACATGAGATCTCTGTACTCATTTACTGTATTTACAGCTGTATTGTGTTTGCAGTGAGGGTGTGTCATCATTCACTTGATTGTGTTGAAGAGGAAAATACTTTGCTGTTCTTTGCAGTGGAGTGTAATATAAGACAATATTTTCTATAGGTGCGATAATTAGCTTCCTGTATGGAGTAAGTAGGGAAAGCTGAGTCCGTCAGTACCAGTGATTTGTGATTATTGCACTGATAAAAGGAAATTTCAAGTGTCACCACTGAATAAATCACACAGAAAACTTCAGGCTCTCAAGCAGCCTCATCCATCCCACCTTTGTAAAGCAGGGCAGTGTGGACCGAGTCACCACCAGGAATGGTTAATGTCACAAGCCAGCTGTAACCAGGACTCTACTTCATTGAAGAAGGCAGAATTAAACCAGGCAGGGCTGCTTGTCTGGCAGAGAGAGCGACGTGTGACCTGGAAGTTAAAGGGGGAATCGACTAGATGAGTCTAGGCAGGTGTGAGTTTATGAGAATATAATGAAAATGATGATTTAAAAAAAAAAAATCAGAAAATTTTGATACAGAGCTAACATAATGTACATGTATCTGTTAACCTTTAGTTTAGCTTTTCTTTAGTTCTGTTTTCCTAATAAATGTTCCTTATTTTCCTGTAACACTTTATTTCAGATTAAAAACTCACATTGGGAAGTTAATCTTCTGGATTAAGGTCTGGTATAATCCAATGTAAGCACATGGTCCTTCACTCTGAAAATGAAATGTAACCCAATAGAATTCATGGTCTGCATTCTTATCTATATATAAGTATTTCTGCTTTCAAGTGTGCACCTATTTGTGAGTAGTGTCTGAACAATTAAATCATGCTCTCTTTTGGGTGTCTGGTAAGGTATACAAGAGAGAATAACAGAGATAAAAAAAAACACCTCGGGAAATATTTAAGAGAACTTTCTATATATTTTTTCAAATCTGCATTTTTAAATCCTGGTTTAATCCTGGTTCTGCTGGCAGAAGATTACACTGCGAGTCAGGCTGCTTCCAGGCTCAAAGTTTCTGAGACAGCAGTACACATGAACAAGGTGAAGCAGGAGATATTGGCAATAACAAAAAACCAGCCAGGTAGAGTGCAGATGCAACTTTCTCTTGCCAGAGATGACCGTCAACTTATTCAGCAGTGCCTCATAAATTGGAATATGACCTCAAGTGACCTTCAAAAAGAATGGGAAACATTAAGTGTAGCTGTGAATTGCACTGCTAAGAAAATTCATAACAGGATCCTAGAAGAAGGACTGAAGACCCATAAAGCAAGGAAGAAGCCCTTCATTAATGAGAAACAGAGAAGACCCAGGCTGCAGTTTGCGGGAAAAAAATGTATAAGTCCATACCCATACATTAAGAAATGAGTGAAACAAAAAATTTTGCTGTGGTCTCTTAATTTTTCCAGAACTTTCAGTTTTTTGTTTCTGTAGTGCTGTATTTTTGATAAGCCAGACATTTTTTTTCAAGAATAGATCTGTATTCATCTTGCCAGACAGTTTAGACAGTTTCTGATGTCCATAAATGTACACACAAGCAGAAACAAAAATAAAATGCATTCACATCTGGCACTGAAATCCTGGCACAGTAAAGCAGAACATTAAACTAAATTTGAATGAAGATACTCTTGTAAACAGGTTTTCATACAAACAAGTTTGAAAATAAGTAGCATTAAAGATTTAAAGTAAACTGGGGCAACACAACAGCTAGTGACAGACAGTGCAGCTTAAAGTTACAATGTGAATGTGCTGCTCAAAGTTTGATAGCACAAGCCAGCTGGATTTCCTGCAGACTCAGTCCCTTTATCCACCGCAGTTCTACACTAATATTAAACATCTGCAGCTGCAAAGTCACTGACTCACATCATACGCACGAGGGCAGTGGGTCTTTGCTTAGTCACAATGATGCAAGGAAAGCTCTAGCAAAGTGAAACCAGACGGATCACCAAGTAATGCAACATTTTATGAATTTATAGACGAGGCAAAGAAACAAGGTAATAGCCGTTAAAAGGGTTCTATTAATTGATTAGGTCACCTCTTTTTAAAAAGCTGGGTGTGAATCCTTTGCAACTTTTGGAAATATTACACAGTGACATTCCTCTATACAAAGTCAAACTAAACATTCTCCATCAAACATTCTCCAGTGGCAACACTTTACTTAAAGCAGTCATCGTAATGCATTATAAAACCCTTCAGAATACATTATAATGTTAATAAAGTATTATCAATACAGCTATATTAATCTAACTATAAAACTAAATTTGAGCCACCCTATGTTTTCAAATGGATTTCAAGATATGCTTTCAGGACTTTTGTTCTTTTGTTTCCCCCAGAATTGTTATTTTCCCGATCTTGGTAAGTAGACTTTTGTTTCATTTGACAGAGTTATTTAGCTGAATAATTTCATCAACAGCATTCATCATCAGTGATATCCTTGTTTCCTTGTTTATTTCCTTGTTATGTTCATTAATAATGATTGTAAGAAATAATGATTGTAACCTGTGCTATACATGAACTTCAGACAATAAGGTTTTATAATGCTCCTTGAGCTGTTGAATTAGTATGCCACATGATAGATTAAACATCTTTGGTCCTTCATTATGGCATGAGCCAGATGAGTTTCCTACATTTAATCTCCCTGCACAGGTTATTACTGTAATTGGTGATGCCTGCTAGAACACTGTAATGTAGTGAACTCTTAATTACACGGCCAGGTAGGTCAAGTCCACCAGCTGTATTTCAATATGACGAATGACATCTTGATTAAGGAGGCACAGCAGCTACCTCTGTCCTATCTCAAGTCTTGTCATAAAAGTTATCATTACGGCTCTCTTCCAAAGACCCTGTAATATATGATGTAATAGATGTCAGAGCGACGATTGCTGGAACTGCAGCCTGTCCACCTCACCAGGCTTTTCTTCTTGCCACCTGCATACAGTATATTTGTATATAATGAGAATCGTTACCAATGCATAATTTGTATAATTAATAGTTTTATTGGAAATAATTTTTATGAACTATGACATCTTTGTTTACAGGCTTTCAGATATGTCAAGGCTTTGTCAAAGCAAGTAACAAAGTTTTTTTGGTCTGATAAATAGATACCTTTGAATGGTTTGCAGTGACGATGTGTCTCTTTCAATATGCATTCAGTTCATATAAAAGCATTTCCTTTTCTCTGTTACAGAAGAGAAAGCTTCACAGTTTTCGCTGCGGCTTTAAGTCTTTCTGAACAAATACACCCGAAAATATATGTAGTAAAGAGGAACCATATGTAACAGGGTATGAAAAATCCATCCGAGCATAGTTGAATGCAACACACTGCCCGCTGTCAAAAAAAGCAGGAAGGATGTTCCTTTTTTCAATTGATTAGCTAGCTAACAAATTTTAAGAAAAATATACGAGACACCTGGTTTCTTTAGTTGTTATGCTGAAAGAGGTAAGGGTTTTACTATAGTATGACAAATAATTTTGCCTGTTTAAAAATGTTTTCTGAGCTATTTTAATACAAGAGAAAAGTAAACGTTAGCTTTATGAGGTAGCGATGGTTTTCTGTCTTGTTCATTTAACTGGATGTGAATAAATTAATCGACATTTTAGGGAGAAAACTTCCTAATGTCGCTTAGATGATACATTACCCGAAACAGATAATTAGAAATACATTATTGCATATATACTGTATATACATGGGTACACATTATGTTTCATATATTTATCGTGCAGCGTTTTCTTACCGTGCCTTTCACTTAGTAGATGGGTGATGAGTGGCTTCTGTCATTATGTCATTCGATCATCTTTTTCCGGCTGAATCATAAAGTACAATCCGAAATTCACAGTCTAGAAATCTATCTGTTAGTAAGGTTCGTGAAACTGAGTTATGGAGTTGTAGAAATTGTTAATGTAGTGTGTTGCTGTAGTGTTTTCTGCATGTGTTTAAAGTTTAGAAAGTTTAAGCCGTGCAGTTGCTATGTGTAGAGCTTAAATGTTGTTTTTGCTCAGTATATCAAAATACACTAGGAATCTGAATTTCACAAGACACTAGATCCATTGATGAATGTGTATTATTTTATTTGCATAGGTAAATAGTCCCCCCCCCCATTTATTTTATGATGCATACACATAATTCAAGCTATGCAGAGCCTGGAGCTGATAGTGACTAAAATATACAGATAGCAGATCCGAAGTCCTACTTGCCTGCAAAGTAACCCTGGGGGATTTTGAAAATGGGACTCTTGAAATCTGTCACCCCAGAATGAGGAATTTGTTAATGATGTAAGATTAACATATTTTGGTTATTAAGGGTGTACCCCTGCTGCCTGGGATAGGCTCCAGTCCCACCATCACCCTGCTTAAGATAACCAGATGGATAGATAAATAAATAATGAAAAAATGTTTAGTACAACGATTAGGTAGAAATAGAAAAAGAAATCGTTGCGCTCCCGAACAATGCTGCCAACTAAAGCAACGTATTGAGTCAAGGTTATGGATGAATGTTTTTTTATTTTTGTTGAAGCACATTTATTCTTTGCATTGCAAGGTACATGGCATGTTATCACGGTGTACTACAGAGAAGAACATTTCCACAGCAAAATCTCACTAATGCTTATGATAAGGTAAGACATTTGGGCATTTGTGGTGACAAACATGTCAGTGAAGGCCTGGACAAAAGTTTTTTTCTTCTTTCTCTTTTCTAGTCCCAGAATGGCAACAGGAATGCAAGAGAAACAGTACAGCCCATCGTTGCTTAGTTTTTTCATCTACAACCCTAAATTTGGGCCCCGTGAGGGAGAGGTACAGGTCTATCCACTCCTAAAAGATTTAATAATCAGAAATGCTGCTCTAAGAAAGGCTTACTGCTTAAGATCAGCTTCGCTGCTCCCTACCCCTAAAATTCAATCTGTCTTCTCACACAGCTCTACCACCATTCCTCTGTGATGTCTCTTTCTTTGTAGGAAGAGAAGAAAATCCTCTTTTACCATCCTAGCGAGGTTGAGAAGAACGAGAAAATCCGCAATGTGGGATTATGTGAAGCCATCGTGCAGTTTACCAGGTATGGATGGCGGACCGGTAACCTCATTAACGTTGGTGCGGCCCGTACTGGATATCTCGTTTGTTATGGTGACAGAAGCTCTTGTTTTCATGGGGTCAAACCACTGCACTGTGCAGCTCACATGACCATCCCTATGACCATCCCCATAGACCCCCGAGGCAACTTCTGTCTTTGCGCTCCTCAACCTGCCCTTCCATGACACATGCCTCTTCCACTGAGAGATGCAGATGGTTGGTACGGCCAGTAGCGTGTTCATGCTGCAGCCTGCTTGTTGTATTATGGACCACGCTAGAAGAGCCTCCCTACACTTCATTGACAGACAGTCTTATGTGGCTCTTCAGGTTTTTTATGAGAACATGGAAAATACCTTATTGGTCAAAATGCATGGAGATGCCAGTAATCTCCGTCAATATGCGTGGATTGCCTGAAGGACAAAAGGACATATTCTATATACACTGCCTGGCCAAAAAAAAGTCACCGGAAAAACAATGCATTAACGAATGTGCACCACAATCAAAGTTAAATGCAGCCTAACAAAATACTAAACTCTGTGATTATTTTTTTGGCCAGGTACTATTCATTATTAGTAGTGTGACATTCAGATATGTCATTGATGCATTCCCAAAAGCTCAGAACTTGAAAATTTCCAACCAGTGTTATATAGTGGCTGAATAGAATGGATTAGTAATGTAAGTTCATGAAAGCTAATGCTAATTCCTCTAGCATTTGATGCTATCTTGACACTGTGATTCTCACAGATGTGCTAGAAGAAATCAGCACATAGTAAATCATGATTTCTCATCTGTCGTACGTCACTGTCGCTCTCCAAACCCAGCAACGTCTTTACTGAACTGAACTTTCTGCAGTGGAAAACCGAAGTGACCTGGAACCGTGCTATAACTAGTGTCTCTTTGCGGCACAGGTTGGGTATGGCCTGGTCTGTATGCCAGTGGAAAAGCACCACAAGAAGCACTTAACTTCCCAACCAAAAGGGCTGTGTGGGATTCATAATTTCTATTAATAGCGATGTATACACTAAATCCTTCCATGTGGTTATGGAGCAGGGAGGTTAATGTGGTATTTTTAGTAAAAGGCATTAAAAATGCCTTCAACCTCACCTTCGAAATAGTACCCAGTCCTGACACACATGCGCGAGCATGTCACAGCCTGTTCACATTCTCCGGTGTCTCTAGTGGCCGTCATGCGGCACAACAGCTGACCAGCGTGTGTTTTGTTTTTTTTTTGTTTAATGAACTAAAAAAATATATATGTGTGTGTGTATATGTGTATATATATATAACTTACACAATAATACTACTGATCCCCACAGAGTAAAGTTGACTTTTCAGTTTTAAAATACTTATTTAAAAACACAATAATAAAATAAGATAATTATTTACATCTATATTCACTTCATCTCCTTTGTCCTCTGTCAGGGGTTGCTAGGTTGCACTTTTGAGGAGTTATTTCACAGTTTGTATAGTAACGGCTAATTGGTGGTGGAGGGACTAAATTCAGCATCACTGATGTCATTACCTGGGACGGCAAACCCCGTCGGCACCTTCAGTCAGTTCCCTGTAATGTGTCACGTGAGTTTCTGGTAATAAAGTCTCAGTGAGCGTAACGTGCTTGTATTTCCTCGACTCTCCCATCTTACAGAACCTTCTGTCCCTCGAAACCAGCCAAATCCCTTCACACGCAGAAGAACAGGCAGTTCTTCTTTGAACCCGAAGAGAATTTCTGGATTGTGATGGTACTTTCTGCAGTCCTCCTGAATTCTGCTGCACTCACACATGTCAGGGCTTTGAATGCTAGTTGGAATCTTGTGCCAGCAATATAATCATATCGCTTTTGGGTGAGAAAGCTGCACTCAGACCCCAAACTTTGTTCTCACTTGTATATGTGTTTTCTGTGTCCCTTATATGACAGCAAGATGGAATGTGTGAAAATCAAAGTGTTCCTTTGTACCTGTACAAATGGCAAATTGAAGTATCTTGCATATATTTTCCAACTCAATATTTCAAGTTATTGTTTATTTTGGTTTCTACTGCAGGATCCAAAAGAAACCTCTTTGAGTAAAAATGCTGTCTAGGCCTAAGTACAAATTAGTACAGAGAATGAAGTGTACTGGGATATACCCCATTTGCCTCTTTAAGACCTTGTACACATTAAAAGCTGAGAATACTTTAGTTTGCAGTTCCCTTTTTTACGCATGAAAAATCATCCCCCTTACACCTGTATTTCCTGAGCAGATAGGAATGGAAGAAGTGCGCGCTAATGACATGGATGTGTCAAACGTAACGCAGGTGGTGCGAAACCCGATGGTAGAGAAGGCAAACAAGGAGGGGAGACCAGCAGCGACGGAGTATCAGGAAGAGGAGCTCTTGGTAAGCGCTCCGGCCTTTTCACTAATCTGAGAAAAGCTGCTGATTTTCATTGATCAGGTTGCCAAAAAAATGCTTTGTCTTATTTCTAAGTTTATATGGCTTTTGTTTGTGAGTGAGTAGCACCGTTAGGGGCAGGTCAGTTGTTTCTGGGTCCCCACTAAAGTCAATAAGGCCCCCCCCCCCCGGAGTGTAGTGACAGTTTGTGACCAACAGAGACCCCCACACATATACATGGTTTGAGTGGTGGTATCATACTGTGGTATCTTACTATGGTATCATACCTCCAGGGTTATGAGTAAGGATGCTGCCCATAGCTTTGTTTGTGTGGAGGGTCCTTGTTCTTCCTTCCATGTGAGCAGCTTTCCTCTGGCTGCTACTCTTTCCTCCCATCGTCCTGCAAAATGCAGTGTGCTGAGCTGGTGTCCCTCCATCCCATGCAAGGGTGTCCCCTGCCTTTGTGCTGCTCTCCCTTGGACAGGCTCCAGGCTCCCCAGATGATAGATGGATTAAGTTTTATCCGGCTGCAGGGCTTTATCTTTAAGGCATGTTTACTTCCTTGCCTCCCCAGCTGCTGGGGTTCTGCGCTCAGTCCCATTGTTGGCTGATGGCCGGAGAGCTTAGAAGATGCTGATATTGTAACTAAAACTTTCGCTTAACTGATGCGCTAAGCAGCCATGAGGGTAGAACCTTTGAATTCTAAAGCAGGTCTTGGCAGATATTGGCAAAAAAATAATGTGTTCTACTGACCTGTTTTGGGGTGATTTTTGTCGCTTTTTTCCTTCCAGGATAATGTTTACGGCGCAGTACTGCAGCAGTGCTACAGTATGTACAAGGTGAGGCTCACTTCATGCTGGCTTAACATGCGCCACCTTCCTGGTTTCTGGAGGCTCCAGGCTTCTGGAGGTGTCTTCTGCATGAGTTCCTCTCCACCTCTCTGTGCATGTTTGGTCCTGGCTGGTAGGAAGGGCCTGTAGGGAGACTCGGGGTTAAGTGTTGTATGCTCCAGTCTCAGACATAAAGATTAAGGGATCTGACTTCAGCCCTGCAATCGCTCGTTTTTAAATGAATGCTTCAAGCCATGGGAATGTGTGAGCTGGAGCTGTCCAGCAGAAAACCATTGGCTCTTTATGGGAGAACTTGTAGCAAATGGGTAATAATTTCATCTGCGCTCATCACTGAGCTTGTCTTTCCCTGTTGCGTACTGAAGTCCAAACAGGCCTGGTATCTGGGCATGGTGGTTCTGGTGACATAGCTGTAAGCGAGTGTGACTGCCGCCCCCCCCCCCCCCCCCTGACGCTGCCTGCTCTCTCCCCAGCTCTTTAATGGCACCTTTGGCAGGGCGATGGAGGCCGGAGCAGTGGAGCTCCTCACGCAGAAACTGGAGAAGTTCTTCTACAGGGTAACCACCTCGTTTTTGAAGCCCTCTGTCTAGATTTTACGCCGGATCTCGAGAGCCGGCCTGAATTCAGGTGTTAAACTTCTTGGTCTCGGCGGCTGGGGGAATGACAGGTTATTCCTGTAGCTATATCGAGTGGACTGACCCGTTTAGAGCACAGAAAGCATGACAAATGAGAGGAGGACCTTCAGTAGCAGACAGTGTCTCTCGCCGTCCACGTTGGGGGTTCCTGCTTCCATATCGCTATCAGAAATCATCCTCGCACCTGCTGCCACAACAGAGATCCTTCTTGTACAGAATCGAGGGCACGATCCTGCGGGCAACCGTGCTCTTTCTGTCGTAAACCCGGCAGACCCGTGCCTCGTACTGGGTGACCACAGCACACACCTGTAATTTCTTCCCCGACTCGCGTTTCGCTTGGAAAGCTGTGTCAAGTGTGTCAGCATTAATCATTCGCAGTCAGGGAGGCTTTCCTGCACTCCTAAAATTTCTGCTTGGTGTACTTACCTGTCTGAATAATTAATTTCTAATTAAGGGGAAACCCCTAAAAGGAAGTTCTGCCCGGACGTGTCACCTTACCTGCCTCCACGTTACGTCCTGCTATGACTTTATGGTCAAGGGCTCTTAGGGGGCGGAAGTGCATGGGACTGTTTGGGAAACCCGTGCCCCAAGATCGCTCGCTATAGCATTGTTTTAAGTCGGTAATAAGCATTTTTGTCTCTCTCCTGTCACTCGTGCCTATTGCTGACCCTTTCCTGTTTGTCTCCAGTATCTCCAAACCCTACACCTTCAGTCTTGTGACCTCCTGGATGTCTTTGGCGGGATCAGTTTCTTCCCCTTAGACAAGATGACCTACTTGAAGATACAGTCCTTTGTGAACAGGGTGGAGGAGAGCTTGAGCCTGATCAAGTATACGACATTCCTCTACAACGACCAGCTCATCTGGTAGGGTTGGCGTAAAGCCCACTCTTTCGCTGGCAATCCGCCTGTGTTTGCTTAAAGCTTTGGGCGGGGTTGGCGAGCAGAGGGCGCTGACCCGGGACTCAGTCGCATCTAACATAGTTGTCAGGGCGACCCCAGCCAGTAAAAGTGCTTCCCTTAAGCAGGGCCCAGTGGTCATTAACGGGGTCACCTAACTTTTGACCCATGTCGCTGTTCTACATTGACCCACTGCACCTCTAATTATTCCGTAGCTCGAGGAAGTGAGTCTGCCAGTACTTCTTTGGCTGGCTGTCCTGTTTGTTTATAAGAGGCATGCTTGACTTCCTCCAGCTGCTCACTGGTTTGCGTAAAACACTCACTGGCACCGGTGGGTGCTAATTTGGCCATGCGGTATGTGTAGGTTTCTCGCTATACAGATGCAGCCTGGGAGGGCGTAGGTGGGGGGGGGGGTTTGAGGGGACGACAATAGAATTCACCCGTGTTCCTTTCTAAGCATAAACGGGATGGTTTCTGGGTAGATTCAAAAGAAGTACTAAATTGAGGGAAATTGAGGGATGCTGTGTCCAATCTGAAGGGCAGTTTAATTGCATTGGTTTTTATATAGCGCCTTTCGCAACACAGGTGCCCCCAGGCACTTGAAGACTGTACACCTCATTACTGTTATAATTATGCTGTGGAATCACACTGTCATGTTATTCCATTGTTCAGCGCAATGTTTTCATCACAAGTGAACGAAGTAGCTTATTTTTACTTTCACAGCTTTTACATAATCCAGCTTAGTACTTCTTGAGATGCTGCCACTGCACTGCTCGTGCTGCAGTAGGTTTCCCATTCCTCAGGAGCCGGTATGCGGCATCCCCCTGTATCCATCTATACC